GTGACCGGATCTTGCCGATGTGTCCCTCCCCGACGACCTCCTCTTCGCCCGGTTGGCCGGCATGGATCTCGCCACTACTGCCCTCAACTTCTCTGCCTCGAGCTCCACGGTCAGCCACCATGGATCCCCCAGCTGGAGGGTCACGTGAACCAGCCGTCCTCCCATGCTGCAGCGGCGAGAAGGTGACATGGCTCTCCGTACACGAAGAGTGGAGTGTGGAGTTCGGTCAAGTACTTATATACTTGGCCTCTACTGCTGATCCATGTACATGGAGAAGAACGGACAACCGCTCATTCATGCTTCGTTCCACTCCTTTGCGCTACATTACTGGAGGTGACATTTTCCTATCTCTCTATGTTGTAACAAGCCTGTTGCCTGCATAGTTAATGGATTTTTTATTTAAATTTATCGCTGCTTAGTGCTTTGTTGCAATTGTTCACGCAAGATTCTTATATATAATCTGAGCGTATGTAGGCATACTTAGCTTTGCTATTCCATTTTTTTTGGCGCATAGAAATAAGAGTATTGTCCAGGTTAGGTATTCAATTGAGTATGGTATTTGGATTGCTATCAGAATGTCTTTTCTATGCATGTGATTTTTCACATCTGGTTATAATATTTGTGAAGACATGCATTGCACGTGCACTTGGAAGCGGGCCCGTGGCCCGCGCTGGACGGCGCCGACGCCGACGCGAGCCACCTCGTCCACGTATTCTTGGAGTTGTGGCTGGTCGATTTACATGAAATTAATTCCCTCAATTCTGGTGGCAAATATAATACACATAATCCATATTGTTATGCACTAGCGTGTATATGTGAAATAGATGAATTATGGTCCCGTACCCAATAAGATGGATATGTGTGTGTGTTAGAGAGAGAGGGAGAGGGGGATAGAGAGTGAGGAAGACGGAGGAAGAGTGTGTATCTGTGAGAATTTGATGGTAAAAAAGGTCGCCAATGTCGTAATATTGAACTCTTAAAGTTAATGTGGCCCCGTTGCAACGCACGGGCGTTCTTCTAGTTTATATATAGCTACGCTGCTCCCAGTCCCAGATGGGAAGTTACGTGCCCTCAAAGGCTTAGTCTGCCCGTACGTGTCCCACTTTTAGCAAGGATGAGCACGGTGTGAGGTATTTCGCTTCTGTGGCACTGCATTTCCATTTGGAGGAGGGTCCCCATCGGAGATACACACTGCTTGGGTCGGTCGAGAAGTAGGGTCCAACCGGCTGAGCCGAGAGCGACCACACATCGAGGTGAGCCAGCAGAGAGCTGCCATGGTTTGTTAACACATTGTGCAGACAGTTAGCTGGCCATATATTTGGTGTGTGTTTTTGTTTTGCTGGGGGCATCTATTTGTCGTCACGTCCACTAATACTCCGACTTACACTAGTACTCCTATATTTATGTTTTTTCTGGGGGCGTATATTTATGTTTTCCGACTTACACTAGTACTCCTATATTACAACTCCTCATGCATTTCAGTATACACTATGTATAACGAGGGAATGCAAATTATGTGCGAGAGCAAGTGCTCCATGAGTGACAACAGTAGTTGCATCAGACCCCGGTCCATGCATGCATGATTGCATAATTCCAACTTGCGCCATGCATCTCCTCCTCGATCGGCAAAGTGCATGCAACAGGATGTGTTTGGTCCCAATATTGCACCGCCCATGATAACCGTAATAACCATAATTACTTGCTTTCAGTTTCAGGGCCACACAAAGCCAAATGCACGTTTCACGTATTATCGATCCATCAATCCATCACCGAGGGGTTGAAGGATCGGAGCAGCACCTTTACATCGTTACATGCATCCTCCCTGCCTCCGCGCATTTGAGTAGAAAGGTGGCTTTCTGCTCTCGCTCGCCTACCCGGCCATCATTCCCGCGCGCCTCGCCCTGAATAGCCACCTTTCTACTTATAGTCTATAGATGAGCCGAGTTAAGGAAGTGGAGTCTGCGACACCCTTTCGGTCTTGGCCGGAGCTCATCGGAGGGCCGAGGAGACGCGGCCGGCCGGGGGCGATAGATC